TGTTCTTTACCTTCAGCGGGTTGAGATTTTAGCTGAGTGCTAGTGTACCTCTGAGTAATTGCATGCAGGGTCATATCAACTACAACATCATGCAGAGAATTACCCTCTTCTCCTAATTCAGACACCCTTGATTTTAGTGTTTTAATTTGTTCTTCACGTGTTTCTTTGTTTTTCTCCATAAGATCAACCAAAACCTTCAATTCTAAAAATTTGGTTGTCCCTGTAAACAAGTTTCATCACATCCTCTTCAATCTCTTTCAATTCATCCTCTTTTTGGTTTCTTTCGATATTCTTGATGATAATCCTAAGTGTTTTGTTCTCCACAATCAACATTTGTATATGAAATTTTTGCACCTCATTATCCACTATCAATCCCGACACACCTTCATTGTCATGCGAATGTTGTTGTGACTCTTGCTCATTTGTTAACAATTCATTCTAAAAATGTTGATTCTTGAATGACTACATCAACAAATGCATCAAACTGTTGGACGTTTGGACTGTATTTTTGGACATTATGATCTTTAACATGAACATATAATACTGCATCACTTTCATGGACATTTTCATTATCCACATTATGATCATCAACATTAGCAATAGGTTCTTCATTTGCCTCCTCAAATAAGAGTTTGAAGCATGCTTGTTGACATTGTGCATTATTGTGCAACCAAATCACTATCAAGAACATTCTTGATTTTTTCTTGCTTTGATCGATTTGTTTTCATTAAGTGCTTCTCAAAATGTGTTTTCTTAAGTTTCCTTTTGAAAACCTAATATTTGCAAAATTACATTAGTAGTAACGTGGAACTTGTATAAAATATATTTTCAAGTCAATTACTCATTCTCCATTTTATAAAGTAACATGAACAATATCTAATGCATCATCAATAGAATTATCCAAAAAAGGATAGTAACATGCAGTTCATAATTTATAGTAACGTGAAACTCATCATATCATGCTCTGCATAGTAATATGCACTTCATAATTAAATCAAATATGAAATCAAATACTATAATATTGCTATATAATAATTAGTGGTGATTTCAGTAACACATTGATCATTAAATAACCTTGTCATACGATCATTCACAATTCACACATCATGTCACATACTAACCAACATGATAACAATAATATGGTATATTAGCATGATATACTACTATTTTTTAAATACCTAATCAGTTGCGATGTCGGATAGTTTGTTTTGTGTGAGTAACATCCAAAATTTTCTTAAATCTCATTTCATAAACCTTAGGAAAGTATCCGCCTTGTTTGCCACTATAATAGATGTGTGTTCACATATCCATACTGCAAATTAGATTTAGTTACAATAGAGATATTGGATAAATTTTAATCATAATAAAAACAACAATTCATAAAAGTAAACACTCATATACGTACAAGTAACGTAAGTACACATCCGGTTACTGGTGTGTCTATCTTCAACCGTATGGAATCCATCATTTCATCAAGTATTGTTTGTGACCATTCATATTTTTTAATTTCATCCAAATTTTCTATGTACAACACATATCACCTTCCAATCGTTTGAGTCATATTTGCAATAAGCAGTGTCACTAACACATATAAAAAGAACAACCTATCAAAATCTTCACAGTCGTCCTTCTCAACGGCTTTTGTTGCATCCTTCAGCTTGCTTTTTATTGTTGGTGCATTCTACCTTTTAGTGTTATTGAATCTCCTTCTCACAAATGGTGACATTTTCTTTGCACTTTGGGGCAAAACAATTGGATCCATACCATCTTCTATACCGAATATGAGGGTTACATCATTCTTCCACAACTTCAAGCCCTTCCAACCAATTTGGAATCTTTGATGTTTCAACATCAAAAGTGTTTAATTATGTCGATGATACTCTTGTCATTCTACTTGAACCAATCTTTGCCACTTCTGTTGTTGATATGGTGTGAAATAATTGCCAAAACGGTATTCTCTTTAGCTGTTCTTTGTGCATATCATTGATTTCTGTCACCAATAACCTTTACCAAAGGAAGCATGTTTGACTTGAATTGGTGAAATGGACCCACTTTTGGAGCTGCAATTTTATCCGTAATTGCCATCACATTGCAGCATCAATATCTAACCAACATATAGTAACATATTATAAAAGGAGATTACCAAAACGTATCAACAAATTAAATTGATTTTTTCTCACAAACCTGATCTTGGAAAAAAAACTCAACACACATAATGAAGATAAGACAATTAGAAAAAAAAATGTGAAAAAGTAACATGAGCAATGCAAGCCAATGATGTTAGTATAGTAACATCAACTTAGTAGTAACATCAATCCATATACAATTTTAATTTTTAGTGCTCCAATTTTCTAGAATGAACATTACATTAAACACAATAATGTCCAAAAGTAACATAAACAGTTAAGCCAACTACTTGTGATATCATAGTAACCTTTGTTTAGTAATATTATTTAGAATATGTAAGCTATCAACTTAGAATGACTCAAAGTTCTTGTTGAACATTAATTTCATTATTTGAATAAGTAACACAGAATCATAAAGCTAATCAAAGCAAACAACAACCATGTGATATCATAGTAACCTTTCTTTAGTAACATTATTTATAATTTTAACACAGAATGACTCAAAGTCTTGTTGGACATTAATTCCATTATTTTAATAAGTAACACCAAATCGTAAAGCTAATTAAAGCAAACAACAACCATGTGAAATTTTTGGAAATCAATTATGGAGCATCAAAAATTTTTTTTGCCCACAGTAGCATCTTTTTTTTTTTTCAAAGTAACACAACGAATCAATTTGGGATTGTTTTCCACAAAAAAATAATACACAAATTGAATGACATCGAATATGTTACATCGATTTTTTTCTCCTCACAGTAACATCAAAGTTTTTCCACAGTAACACAACGAATCAATTTTCGATTGTTTTTCACAAAAAAAAAATCCACAAAATTGGAAAAGTACATTATTTCAATCAGTAACATATAATCATAGTTGAATTAGGACACATTAACAATTACGAACATTAAGACATCGAATATGCTTGATCGAATATTTTTTCCTAACAGTAACATTAGTGTTTTTCCATAGTAACACAATGAAGCATTTTTCTATTATTTTCCCCAATAAACGATCCAAAAATTGGAAAACTACATAATTTAATTTAGTAGCACTGAATCACACGTTGAAATTAGGAAAGCAAAAAACAATGAAAATTTTGAAAACTAAAACATGTAGAAAGATGTTTTAAGTCCCTAGAATGCACAACATCTTCCTCATAATCACATACTTGAACCCTAATTCTAAATTCAAAAATGTAGAAGATGTTTTGAAAGCATTGAATGAACAACAACTTCTTCAATGGATTCCATAGCAAACTGGACAAGTAAAATCGAATATGGTATTAACTGAATATATTCAGTTTAAAATTTGAATGTGAAGGGTTTTCAGAAAATGTCGGTTATATGTTTTTCGGAGAAAGAAACATCGTGACATGAACAATTGTAGCCAGATTTGTAGGCGTCGATTGTTGGGGAGTCGATGCGAAAAGAATACTTCAAATGTCGTTTGCTTCACTTCTTAAGGCAGTGGATAATTTGGTAAAATTGACAAAAAATGAACTTCATAACAAATAAGTTTCTTTGTCAGACTTATCTCCAAATAAGTTCATATATAGAGACTAACCTCCAAATTTCCGAAAAAAAAGACCCAATATACTTATGGGTTAAATTTTTTGGGAATCCTCTAAGACTGGAGAAAATATTAGATGCCATGGTGACATCATATTATCAATGTCATATGGTGTTACCAACCAATGATAGAATATGAAGTGGGTTTAGTGGGTTCCACTATTTTAATAACTACCAATAATCACATTTATCATGTTAGAGTAGTGGAGTTCTCCAATCTTATTTGTTATTTTATAATTAGTTATTGACAAGTGACACCATGTAATATTAATGACATAGTGTTACCGTTACACCTAATATTTACCCTAAAACTAGGGCCTTGGGCAGTCACCTTAGTCGTCTATGCCTAAGCCCGCCCTGGTTCACACACACATCTTCAAATGTATATTTAACTCGCAGATATGACATGCCATTTCAGTATTTTTAATTTCTATGACACATGGATCCCAACTCTTCAAAAATTGTATTCCAAAAGCAGACTACTCTATTTTGATTTTCTAAGTAGGACACATAAAAGAAGTACAAATTAACTACTATATACGTGAGAAATACATGAGATTTGTTGGTTTTGCGCAGCAGATAAGTAACACAAATAATATTTATTAAAAAAAAATAGAAATTTAAAGGTAGAAAAAACAATAAAATTAAACACAAAAATATAACATAGTTCGATACAGTATACCTGTCTTAGTACACCATACCGACATCCACGGATCAAAAATATATTATTCATTGAAAATTGATCATCTAATAACTGCTTACATAATCCTTAACCTTATTTAGAGATAAAATATTATAACCCAACCTATTTAGATACAACTTGATCTCTATGATTCTTATCACATGTCTAATATACATATTTAAGGTACATTAAAACTCTTCTAATTTGTCTCTTATTTGATTAGGTCACTAATAAACCTATCAATGATTTATTATCCGACAAACTCTTATTATTGACAATTAGATAGTTTGGGTCAATTAATGTCGTGTCGTGTATCTTGCATATCAAATATTTTTGTGCCGTGTTCATATCAAAACCCACAAGAAAAAATCTATTTAATGTTTTCTAAATATTAACCATTAACGTAGACTATTTATTATACTTATTTAATAATTGTATCAATTTTAAACTTATGTTGAATTTGTGTCAACGAGTCAGAGTTGACTCTCCTACCTCTATCTTGTTTTCTCTCATTTCACTTTAATTTTAAAATGTTATTAAGAAAAAAAAATATAATTTAAAATATAAATATTACACAATCAATGCTCAACTTTAATATTGTAGAATGCTTCAAACGGTTGAGACTTAAAAAAAGTTCGGATACATATATTTATACATGCAATGCAACCTATCTTCGTCAGGATTGGCAGTTTCACAAGTAGACCACCCGTTTCCCGCGTATCTACCATTGCGCAACAACTCAAGGACATTGATTGAATATCTTCTGATTAGTGTTTGGTGATTGAACTTTACGAGAGGATAAATCAAAATCACCAGATCCTTAAAAGCAAATACATGGAACAAGCTTAGTATTTCAAGGTAGGTGCTCCTAAACATTTCCAGCAAATGGGAAAGCTGAGGGAAATGGTCCAGAGTATTGTCATCTTCCATCCTTTTGTTCCAGATACTAGTTCAAAGTTACATATCGAAGGTGATAGTCATAGTACTTCTCATCAACAGAAGTATACATCAACTCACACTCTGGATAGTCATAGTACTTCTCATCAACAAAAAGTATACATCAACCCGCACTCTGAACTGTGAGAAACTGCTGAATAGCTGCCAATTGCGAGAAATAGTACACAACAATGATGACATCAAACAAATCCTTGTTCAAACTGCCAATTGTTGTGATAATTTTTGCCACAAAGTTCCTCATATTGACTTATATTTCATCTTCCTCAAAGGGATCTTGTTCAGGATAGTCGCCAACCTGGAAAATTTTCAAGTTGTAAATGCATTCAGAGCCGTTAAGAAATCAAGTAACATAATGCAACAAAGTAACTGATATGATCAAAAAACAGAAGAAAAAAGGGCATGTAGACTACATACATGTGTTTGCTGCGGGGCCACCATTTATCAATTATTTTACTACTTATTTCAAGAACAGGACATCCCTCACAGTAAAAGGGATTGAAATCCATAACAAAGAACCTGACAGGCTTCCAAAAGGTAACACCATCTTCTCAATTAACAACAGCGTCCCAATGTATAGGATGCCAATGCATATTGCCTAACAATTTCTACAGATACTATAGTAACTGCACTACATGCCATTAAACAATACCATAGAACTCCGTAGCAGTAACAGGTTCAGGTTGACTACATCTGAACTGGTTTTGCATCAGGGATATTCACTTGTACTATTCCTTTCATTGTTCCAATGCCAGTGTTCAAAAAGATAAAGGTCCCACAGTGGATATCTTTGGGTGGCTATCTCAATACCCAGGGAAATAGAGTTTTAGGTACAGAAATTCATCTACCACATATTTGGCGAAACAACAAAATCTAGGCTCATTTAAAGCGACATCCAAATTGCCATCACTGTATTGAAGGGGGAAAGGAAAATAATAAACACTAAGATGTAGAATGCACATACTCCCCTACGGTTTGGGCCGCTTCCACATAATCCCATGGTTAGGAATATGCACTTATGACAGCGTGCAAATTGCAATGCATATAATCCCCTCGGCTTTTGGACTAACATGTAACATATGTTGGAGCACACAGAAAAGTGTCAAATCAACTGTAGTGACCTTTATCTTCTTAGATTTCCAGTCCTATCTCTCTTTCTCCAGATGACCTCAGTCAAAAATAATCTCCTTACCACCACATCACTACAATGACAACCCATCAAGGGAACATACACATGCACGTACACGTTGCTAACCATCAATGACCAAACTTTTGTTTCTTTCAACTTATAAACGGAAACGTTTTGGAAACAGAATTGAACTAGAGAAAAATACGAAATTGCAATTTCAGCGACATTCTGAAACATTCCTCACACACACATAGGAATTTTGGTTACAGCCACCACCATCACGTCCACCTGCATCTCCATTAATAAACCTATTATCAAATTTCCAGGCCCATCAAATCCTGCCACCACCATTATCATAACATAACCACTATTGCCTCCACGAACGCACCAAGAAATCTCACACCCAAAGATATGCATACACACGCGTGTTTGTATGTATTAGTGTGTGTTGATAATCTATCTCTTTTCTCTGTTTATGTATGGTGGAATTAGGGTTTCTTATATTTTGTTAATTCCCAAATGGGCTTTTTTGCAAAATAATTGATTCTTTAATAGTGGAATAAGGGGGAGTGAGATGGTTGTTTTACGGTGAAGGGAGGAATCGGGTGTAGTGGTAATGATGGTGGTTGGTTTTGTCTAAGGTGGTGGTGACAATTTTCTTGGTTACCTTTTATTTTCTTTCTAGAGAGAAATGGTGTGAAAATACTAAAATTCGAGTTTGTTGATGGGGTGGAGGACAAAGTGGTGATAGTGGTTGTGTTTGGTTAAATAAGGAAACAGAAAATGATAAAAAAAGGAGCAAAAATAATTTTTAGGAAGGTATATATGTCATTTTGATGCAGTATTCTGGCAAAAATTTTGACTTCTTATGTTAGACAATTTAGGTTTAATAGAAATACTAAAAGTTGCATTTTAGACCATTAACACAGTGGAGAACATGGTCATTGCGAAGCACCAAGGGAGCAGTGTGAAATGGGCCTCAACCACGGGAGTACATGCATTTTCTCTTTTTTACATTGTAAAATAGTAAAGCTTTAGTAAAATGTGGTGTAACTTAAAGCCCTCCTAGAATATTGTTTTTAAAGGTTCTATATCTTTATCGTATATTCATACCTTCTTTTTCTTCATTTGTTTTTCCATGGACAAATCTTACTTACCTCATCAATTGCTATTTTAGAAGGAAGCAAATAAAATGGTTCTTTTCTCTTTCCTTATGCCAAATGAATAAATTAGAAAAGAAGATCAGCCACAGAGGGAAAATCGGACTTCAATATTCGTGTGAGACTCATATGAAGCATTTTAAACTATTAAGTTTGTCATTGTTTTCTTCTTACCTATCAACAAATTTATTTCTTAAACAAACATTAAACAACATATCAACATGCACTAAAATATCACATCAGTTTTCAAAAGTTATAAATATGAGATGGTGCATATCTCCCTTTGAGTACCATCAGCATGTACAACTTACAAATTAAGAGCACCATATGTATATTTTTGGACACAAACCTTCACTTTCTCTGGTCTGACCATGGCACCATGCAGTGGGGGGCACTCAAAGTAACGTGTCCCTTTCACCCTGAAAAGATGATGAAAAAAATACCACTTTAAAGCAAAAAAAAAAAAAAAAATCTTGAAGAAAAAGAGACTGCAGGATTCGAGTGTAGCCTAAGAAGCATTGATATACGGACACAGACAGGACACGAACATAACACAAACGGACATGCCGATACAGAATTTTACAAAGAAACAAGGGCATGGATATGTTTGGGGACACAATTCTAATATTTCACATCATTCCATCAAGATTCAATTCAACATTTCGACAACTTGAACAATTGACATCATGAAATCATAAAATCAAGACTAGAGAATCAAACTTATGAATGTAAATTCATCATAAACCTCCATGATTCAATATTCAATAATTTATATAAACTGAATTTCAACACCCCTACTTTGTAAATCTTAGGGTGTGTTTGTTTGACAATTTTGTTTCGTGTTTTTTGTTTTTGTTTTCAATTTTTACCAAAAAAACAAATAAAAACATGTTTGGTATTTGTTTATGTTTTTTTTTTTATCTAAGTTGTCTTGAAAACAAGCTAACAAAATGGAAACAAAAAAATCATGTTCCAAGAAACAACTCAAAACATGAAACATGCGGTGGCTGACTTTTGCTTTTAATGACGTCCCCACTTCAATTCCTGTTAGCAACAAAAGACCATTATTTTTTATGGAAGTATAAATATTGGGCTTTTGGTCTTTTTTCATTCGGTCATTTGTTGCTAACAGCTTCTACGAAATATTGGGGTTTCTTTTGGTCTCTCTCTTAACCCAGAAGCTTCAACGAAATTGTCCCCGTCTTCTCCTCTGCGTCTTTGGTGTGGATGGCTTGAACGAAGAAGAAGCTCTCCTTCGCTCATCGACTGCTGCCTAGAAGAACCACCTCTCCTCCATCGATCTCTGTCTCGCTGTGAAGTGTAACCACTGTATTCACATAGATCTATGCATATATATCTATATATATATATATATATATATGCTTATACATGAGGAGAATAGGCAAATCTGTGTGTTTTGTGTGTAGATCCATCACAGACCCCCCCTCCCTCTTTTTTTTCATTTTCCCCTAAAAAAAATCCAGATCTGCGTGTTTTGTGTGTGGTCTATGTGCATCTTGGAAGTAAAGAGTCTGAATTTAAGCCTTAAAGGCATGTTAATGACATGCCATGTTTATGACGCGCGAAGATAAAAAGGGAAAAAAATATGCTAAGATTGTTGCTTCCTATTATTTTGATGTTTCATTCTGCGAAAACACAAGGGGAGAGCTATTATAGAAACCCATATACAGATAGTTCATGAATATCCATTTAACTTGAAATAGGTATTATCCATATTTTACAATTGCTTTGGCATTGTTAGTACTAAAATGTGCTACTTTAATGAATTACTGGCGTATGTTTTAGCTTCATATTTAGGAAAAAAAAAATACATAAATCTGCCCCTCAACTTTCAAAAAGAAAATAAAAAATTATCATACAACATGACACAACTTGGATTTGAGAGGAGGATAGCAGAAAATTTTGAGGCCGGAGTGTGCCTTACTGTTTCACCGCAGTCGAATTTCAAAGCCCTCCTTCCTTTAAACTTCTTTCGTAATTCTTTTCTTATTTTTTTCTTCCTAGGTTGATGAGTACAACGCAATTACAAATGAATATTATGTGATTCCCTAAACCCAGCAGTCAGGACGGAGAGAGAAGAAATTGATCACTATTTTCATGCTTGCTTCTTGTGGTTTTAATTTAATCTCATTTGTAAATTATTGTTCGTGGTATTTGTACTAATGATTGAGATTTTAGTTAAGTGATATGAATTATTGATATGTGTATTTTGTTGTATGTTGAACAATATGATGTATGACTGTGATTAATGACTTATGTAATCCAATTATCTTACTTTAGGTGTTCTTTGATGAATTAATGGATGTATTGGGATAAGAAATTTTTTGATTTGTATTTTGTTGTATGTGATATTACAAAACTAATATTAAGGATATAATTTGAAGTAATTACCAAACATGTTTTTTGTTTTTATTCTCATAATTTGATAAACACAAATGACTTCCAAATATGTTTTCTGTCCTTAATATTTACCACAAAACACAAATAAAAATTGTCTCTGTTTTTTATTATTTTGAAAACGCAAAAACAAAAATATTACCAAATGACCCCTTAGTTTTCATTTAATTTCAAAAGCTCTAATTTTGTTCCCTAATGTTAATCAAATTATTTGCATGCAAATACAGTTCACTGGGCTACAATTCTTCACATTGTGCACTATTTTCAAG